AAGCTTCCATGAACAGTGAGCAAACATTTCCTCACGACAACATGTGATGAACAGCAGGGAAGACGAGAAGACCCATCAGATTGGTGGGCGTTCAGGCGGTCTGAGTATAAATGTTGCTGCTCCCTGTAGGTGCTGCTGGGTGAGGCGAAGCGTGAGCTGCAGGAGCTGAGGGCCAGTTTGAGAAAGGTCCAGAAAGAAAGGGAGGAGGAACAGCTTCAAAACCAGGCAAGGATTCAACACCGGATCAACAGCACAGCTCACGATTCTTTAATCTACCACAAGAAACAGTATAGGGACGCTAAGCCCTGCGCTTTGGCTCTGCTCTTCAACTGCAACAGAACACAGCAAAATGTGTTTTTCCCCCAAGCTCAGTTACACATTTTAGACAGCGACTGCTGATTAGTTTAGGTATTCATTCTCATCACCTTCATTTCCCGATCAAATCTGTGTTTTTGTAATTTGAACCTTGCAGGATTTGGTGAACTGCATCCATCAGTTAGAGCAGAGATTAGGGATTGTGTCAGTAGATGAAGCAAGCAGTACAGCTCCCACGTGCATATGTAAGTAAAAAGATCTTTTTGCATGCCACGCTGCTATTTCATTGAACTGTAATGAAAACTAAGGTAAAGACTCAGTGCTGGTTCGTACAGCTCCTGGCTCTACCCCTGCGAGTGATGAGAGTGCTTCCTCCAGGTCAGTCTGTGCACCTGTTTCCTCGTCCAATGACCTGAAGCAGCCCGACAGAGCTGAGATCCCTCCTGAGATACAGATCCAGAGCGAGGAAGAAGACACACCAGCCTCTGACACACAGGTAAACCCAGGACTGATACATCTAGGTAGGGAAATATTTGACTAGTTGGCCAAATTAGTCCGCAATTTCTGTTTCACAGGTGAGTTTAATGCTGCCTGTTGGAAACCAACTACTAAAGTCTTAGACTTTAGACAAAGTCTAATGTGTCTAAAGTCACATTAGACAAAAGCACCAGATGTATCATCTGAGAGCCCCATCGTCACAACATGTCTCCTAACTAATCCATTTAATCATTTTTGGCTTGTGTAATGAGCTTATTTCAATTCCTTATAGACAACTTCCTCATATTTGAAGTGGTTTCCAACAAATAACTGCATTTTGCAGTATAATGTAGATGATATTTGATACGGATTATTAGTACAGCACAAACGTTTGAGACCTTTCAGTTGTTGCATACAGTCAGAGTCATGAAGAACTATTTTCTCCTGCACCAGATTATTTGACCCTCACTAAATCCTAAACTAGCGGTTTTAAAAAGGCAAATGATGATCTCTTCGAATGCTGATTCGATTTATTTCATCTACTGCGCTCTACTGGGTACTAATTGCTCATTAAAGACTATTTGGGTGTAATTTCTCAGAGCTCTTTTACACCACAGAAAATAAGATGAAAGTAAAATGAGTACCACACTATATTTCCGTTTTGAAACCCAAGTGTCCAAGTGTTCTGGGTGGATACAAACCCACAGTTCACCTGCATTTCTGCCTCTGTCTGTTGAACCAGGATGAGGAAAGGGAGCAGCGTGAACCCTCCGCTGCTGAAAGAAAGAAACTGATCCTACCAGAGCTCATCAACCCCGTCTTCAGGTGACACAGCTGGCTTTCCAGCAGTTACACTTCACACGCCCTCTTTTCTCCGCCACAGCTGAAAATAAGACTGAATAAAATAATAGGACGGTCATGCTAAGCGTGAAGGAGAACTGTGGAATTATTTACCTTTGCTTAAAACTTTCAACTCTCTTTGCCTCTGCAGTGAGCTGGCTGACTCCCCCATGTGGTAACACAGGGATGGATGGCAGGTTTCCCGTGTACCACTGCGGTATTATTTTATATGGGTCATAAGAACACTTGAGACCTATATAAAGTCCCCATCACAAAGGGTATTGTGCTTTTACCTCAAGAGTGTCTTTTAGGAATTTGCAAGTCTTAAGTGGGCTAATTTTCGCCGTTGTTTTATGCTGTTTGTGGTTTTAATTCTGATTCAAACTTAGTGACACTCAGGATGAATTTTAAGTGCAAATTGAATTTTTGCTTTCCGAACTTTTAGATGAAGATTCATATTTTTGAACTTTTATTTCATTATTAGGTGTCTGTGTCACAGCTGTTATGAGATATCAGTTGCACACATAGCCCCCCACCCCCACCCCCCGGGCTCTGCATGTGAGTGCGACTGCACAAAGTGTGTCAAGTGTGTGGGTGTGGGTCACAGTCAAGTGTGAAATGCTTTGCTCCTGGCTCGTTTGGTGCAGTTCAGGTAAAAGTTTGTTATTCAATGGTGCTCTTTAATAAAACATAATAATGACTACCAGGTGAGTGCTGTGCCTAAACGTCATTATTTCACCGCGACATTTGATGATTTTTCCTAAAGTGACCCAGAAATGTGCAAAAATGTTCTTTGAAAATGTAATACCATTGTTCAGAAATGGTTGTACACCGATGCTGTTCCAGGTCATGTTTGACCCGCATCTCTTCAGATAGATTTCAAGGTAGCACTTAATAATAGTGTCACAGTATGAAGTATAAGTATTAGTAAGCACTTAATTCATCATTTATCATTACTTCTCCTTAGTATGTCTTTGATAAATACAGATGTTTATCCATGTGTTACTGTTACACCATGTACAGCAATGATAGTTGTGTAGCTATATACAGCCTTCATTGCTACCACATCACTGCTAATAATAATCATAATAATTATATATTATAATGCCATGTAAATGACGACTTAAGCACTTCCTAATACCTTAATAAAACTTAGTAGTTTCTGAGGTAGTATTCTGAGCTGAGATTAAAGTGAAAGCCAAACTAGATTAAAAGAGGAGTTGTGGGAAGTCATCAGGTCATTAAAGAGCCTGAACTGCCACTTCAGTGTGTGCAGGAAAAACATATACCAGTCCTGCAGATGCAACATTTCCTACCGCAGCTTTCAATGCACAGACTAGTTTATGACAAGCATTTTTTTAAATGTTGTATTAATCTTGACAATAACAGATTAGAACATACTTAAATCATTGTGGCTGTTATGTTTTCACGTCTCAAGCGAAACAGGACATGTGCGATAGCATGCGGAAAAATAGTCGTCCATTTATTAATGTCAGACACTTATTATCAGGGAATTCTTGGCCTGGGTCACACTGAAGTATGTGAGTGTTAAAAGATGAGTGGCTGCTTGGTTCAAAGATGTGTAAAGAGATCTCAAAGAAGATGACAAGTGGAGACGCTATAAGGTCTGAGAACAAAAAGAGCATTTATCAAAATACAAGAAACAACAAATAACAAATCACGAGCCCCCAAACAGCAAAATATAGTATTGACTTCTCATAAAACTGTAAAAACAAGAACATATCAACCCAGTTTTTGGATTTCCGTGTGTGTGAGTGCATGGATGTCAGAGCCATCAAAGCTATTTTGATACAAGTCAAGTTGAATTAAAACTCATGAGGAACCTGAATCCCTGAACACGATAGAGACAACGACCTTAATAAAAGCGGTAAGCATTGTAAATGTTTTGTCCAAATGTAACGTAAAATCCATATTTGATCTTTTTTAAATGCTGTACGCGTGTGTAGAGCTCTTTTTAAACTGCACCAGCTCAAATCCAGAAAAAACTAACAAGGTTTTAAAACAAATAAAGGAAGGAAAAAACCTGTTCCAAACTATCATGGTTATATGAAATACTTTTAAATACTGAACAGTTTGAGTCGGGCTGATCGTGTCCAAGGTGCGTTCTGTCCTTTCCCACGGTTGTTTGGTTCTAAGGTTTTCACAATAAAACAGCAAAATTACCAAATTTAGGAGCAAACTTGGTGGGCCTTTCTTATTTAACACGCCTTCTGTCTTTATCAACATAGCTCACACGAGAGCCCCACTCAGTCACTCAGTGCCTGTTTGTGTCGGACGGTTGTTGGCCAGAACTCGAGCAGTCCCAAAACAAGTGTACGTGCGAGGGATTTCTCCAACCTAAAGAAAAAAAGATCTAATATTTGTATGGTGTTGTTTTTTTCATTTTTAGTTGCAAAATCCATTTTATACACATTTACAGATGCTGATAATTGGACACTCACTCATGTGGATGATGGCAGTGATGTAACGTGTCTATTACAGCACCCTGTTTATTGGGACACGCTCACGCACACACACATCTGAGGTTTCCGTGATGTAAACGGCTTTTAATGGTTGTGTTTGCTTGGTGGAGTCTTTGCTTGCCTTAAAACAACAGGAAGAAAATCTTATGGCTTAACTTTACCTGGTTTTTTGAACGAGTGCATGTACTGAAAGTTTTAATGATTCCTAACCTGTGTGAAAGAAGAACGTCTGATGGAAAAGAAAAGAAATACTGTAAAAACAGCTGAAGCGTGGCCCTGATCAACTGGAGATATGTTTTCCCGCATTTCTCTGACATTTTTATTATTTGGCCCACAAGCACCCGGGTTTGAATTAAAGCTGAAGTCCTCTTGCATTTCTTTCAGATTAGCCAATCACCAATCCTGAATGATCACACTTTGAGTTTGAGTCCTGCTCATGACTCCCATGACTCTTTAGCTATTGCTCTTTTTCCTTTTTGTTTTCCTCTTTTCTTCTGCTATTGCTTCACTGTGTCCGATAAAACTAACGCATACGATAAAAAGCACAAATGTCCAGTCAGATGCGAGCACTGAGTGTGAAAATATACACAAGAAAAACAAGCAACACGAGGTCCCACAAACAAACAAAAGACAAAACAGTAATGTGTACATGCTTATAAAAACCATACAATGAAAAAATAAGTAGCATATCTCTGAATAGTAATAAAAGTAATTCTGAGAAGACATCTGTGGCATCTGGACGCCACATAAGAGTTCTGTCGCTGCAATGTACTCTTACCATCAATTTTATACAAAGCATAGCCCTTAATAGATAGCGGAGGAGTGCTTTTTTTGTCTCTCAACAACTGTTTTTCCTGTCTTTGTGCGGACAAAACCTTTTTTTTTTAATATATATATATCTTTTAAACATTCTGGCACTGATTTTCTTTTTTAACTGTGCCCTCATCAATCCACTGAAATGTAGTGCTTTTGCGTCTCCAAATTCCTCACTTGCTACTATGAATTGAACACATTTTCCTTTCAGTCAGTATGTACAGTATACACGGATATGTGCTGTGCGAAACGCCGTTTTAACAGCTTTAATCTGTGAGGTTTCTACGAGCTGACGTTGCTCGGCGGCGGCGCTCGGCGAATCCGTGCGAGGCAGCGGTGTCGTCTTGTGTCTCTCTTTCTCTGTCTCACTGCGTCTTCCCTGTCACGCCTTTCTTTTGCGCGCTCGCTGCCGCCTCCCCCCACGCCTCTCCGTCGCTTTCTGCCCCTCGCTCTTTCTCCTCGTCCCAATAGTCGTCCTCTTCCTCCTCCTCTTCTTCCTCGAAGGCTGACTCGTACGTGGCCTTGTCCTCTTGCTTGATGGCTTGAATGGCAGGGGGAGCAGCTGCGCCGCTGTCGCCCGAGTCGCTGCTGTCCTCGAAGGAGTCCGGGTTCTCCAGCATCTCCCTGATCAGGGGAGGCATGGGGCCGGGGATCTCTGTCTTTAGCGTGATGGCTCTTTCTGCACCTGCACACACATGGACATTCATTTACTCGTAGGTATGAAGAAATAAAGAACGTCACATGCTAACAGACAGGAGTCATGTAATTTAAAATATGCTGTCTGGCAGACCTTTCTTCCAAGCATGAATTTACAGTAATGTCTGTTAAATGTTACGAAATTGCTTTGAGGCAACATTTATTTTATTTAAGCGGTTGCCTAACAAGCAATAGGAGCGTAGTTTGAGACCAGCATCATCAGTCTTTTCCTAACCGCTAACTGCTTTGAGCCTGAGCTAATCAGAGCAAAAAATACAAATCTGAAAAGATATTTCAGTACTTATGCGTGTTGAGCTTTGACACTGAGATCTATTCCAAACTGTGGTTGTGCTATGAAAAAAACAAGCTAACCTTTGGTGCTGATTCCCCTGAGGTCTGTGACTTTCATCAGCATTCGGGGAAACATGTGAGGCTTGTTCGGGCGTCTGCGTCGGGTGTAGATCTTCAGGGCCTCTAGCAGCGGTTCCTGCAGCTTGTCCACCTTCTCCGGCTCTTCCAAGTCCATACGGTCTAGTAGTGAAGTGAAGAGAGCGGACACAGCAAAACAATGACAAGAAGCGAGACACTGTTACAGCCTTTATGCTACCGACTGACTGCTAAACTGTGACCGTACACTGATGTCTCTTCCTTTCCATCAATAATTCCACGACTGCAAGTTTACCTCCGCAGATGAGACAGATGGCGCTGAGCAGCCCCGTCTCGGTGTCGTCCATCTCCAAAGGCAGCAGCTGACCGGCAAAGGCAAACACCAGGTCTGTGAGCGGGCCAAAGCCGGCGTTATGCATCTGGGTCCTGTTTAGAGTCAGGCCATCTGAGAAGGTCATCGTGTCCTGCTCTGGTGTGTAGCGAGTGCATATCCTCAGCATCTAAGCAGGGGAAGAATATGATGAGGCATAAACCAGAAATTTCTAGACAGAAGTTCACGTTGAAATTTTTTCACGGGAGCTGTTCAGAATCACAAAGCAGCGTGACAAATAGAGAATAGCTTAGGGATGTGGAGGTGTAGTCGATTAAAGGGGAGGAGTAATAGGAACGTGGCGCTAGTACCAGGATGTCCAGGCATGCAGATTTGAGGAGGGTGATCTGGTCAGCGATGGTGAGCGTAGTGAAGCCTGGTAGCCGCTTGGCAAACTCCACAATCTTTATAATGCACTTAGTGGAGAGCTCACTGAACTTATCCCATAGGCCCAAGTCCAGCTGCACTCTGTGGTCAGCACTTGAATTCTGGGAGAGAGAAAGAGGGACACTTTTTTTTCTTTCTGTGTGACTGTGCAAACTCCACATAGTGTTTGTCCTTCCTGCAAAGCGGTGAGCTTAAGTGGAGCGCGAGTGTCGAGAAGTGGGTGCAATTATGTGCTAAAAAAAAGACTCACTGTGGTGTATTTTCCTAGTTGGCACAGAGACGGGAAGGTCTCTTGGTGAGCTTTGCTGACTTTGTTGACCAGCTCCTCCAGTTCTCCACTTAGTTCGTAGTTCTCGGGCAGCACCACTTCCTCCTTCACGTCCTTCTTCTTTTTGTTCCTGTCGTTACGCACCGCTACCGGGACACACGTGCACGAGATGAGGAAAAGACACAACTCCTTTTGCTTTTTCCTCGATAGCGACACACCGGCAGCCCGTAATATCTGAGACGCTTACCTTCTTTGGACATGCCGACCTCAAAGCACTTCTGCAGCCGACAGTACTGGCAGCGGTTGCGGGTAACTTTGTTGATCTGACAGTTCTTGTCTCTGTGGCACGTATACACCATGTTCTTTTGAATGCTGCGCCTGAAAAAACCCTAAAACAGACACAGGAAAATGTCTTGGACATGGATGCCACACGATAAATACATAAAAAACTTTAAAAAAGTTACTGTTGTTAGTCAGGATTTGGTACTATTTAGTGGATCAGTGGAAAGACTGTCTAAATAATTTAATCTTCTGATGTCACAGAACTATAGCAGATATTGATCCCAAGTAGACGCTGAAAGAAAAACTGGCACATGTATTTTTCATGATTGCTTTTTTGCTAAAGCCCATCGGAAGTTACAAAATCCCACGACAAATGAACACCGTGTCACAGCAGCCAGCCGCGTTAAAAGTACTTTGGATTAAAAAGCAGGAGAGCCTAAAGCATTAACCAGCCAACTTCATACTGTAGGTGGCTACATGAGTTAGCTGATACAACGGGGAGGTGGGCAGTGGAGCGGTGCATCAGTCATCTCACATCAACAAGGCTCTAGGTCGGTGAACTGAGTTGAGGTGATTCTGGATGTGTTAGTGTGACGGTAAGTGTTTAACCTGCGATAGCTGGTTAAAAAATAAGCAGTGATTACAGGGTGTGGAACCGTGAGAGGTAGCCAAGGGTAAAGAAATAAATTGTCCAAATGTAGTTGCATGTGTCATAGTGCTATGGGACCTGGACTGGTTTTCTACTCTATTTGAGCGCTCAAAGCTCTTTAAACAACATGTTTCATTCCCACAAGCACTTTTTTGTTCTGACTCTAAGTTCTTTCACACTCTGGTTAACACATTGGGAACAACTTGGGATTCAGTATCTTGCCAAAAACACTTAGGCAAGCAGTCTGGAGCAGCCAGGGATCAAACTACCAACTGTCCAGTTAGTGGATGACTTGCTCTACCTCCTGAGCCACAGCTACCACAAGAGTAATGGCTCAAACAGCACAGCACTGTGGAGCAGCAATTGTTATCAGACCACTGGAGCAGATATCTTGTTTCACTTGAAACAAACAAGTTCTGAAGACATTTTTAGGTTTTATTTACTTATAGCCAAAAGAAGCCATTTTCCTGTCACAAACAGCATCACACTGTTCATTTGTAGCTTTAATCATGTGCAGTTACGTATGGATACACTAGAGGGCAGCTCAGCGACAGCAAGCACATCTCTGCGCACATCTGTCTGCCTCTCTTTTCAGGGGACCTCAGCTGTTCACATTAGCTGTAAACTCCTCGTGTATCTCCAACTTCATTTACCTTGCAGCCCTCACAGGAGCTCACTCCATAGTGATAACCAGATGACTTGTCCTGGCACACGAAGCACGGCTTATAAACACGAGGAGGAGGAGGCGGCGAAGGAGAGCTTGGCACCATCTCCTCCGAACTGGTGCTCTGGGTCTCCACGGCTGCGGAAAAAGCACAGAATGGAGAAACAGTTGAGTACTCTTATGAATTCAGAGCATCTTGTTTATATTTATTCTTAAAGTCTTTGAAACTTTGATGAAAGCTAATACAAAGTGATTAACAGAAAGAGTGGTCAGCAAACAACCCCCCCAACCCCACGCAGGCCACCCCTCGGAGCCAGAAGGCAAGCTCAAAGGCAGACATTTTTAAGAGAAAAGGGAGGAGGGGTGGCACTGCTGACTGACAGGGACTTAAAAGAGACACAATTAGCTGATGGCCAGATGGCCCTGCTGATAAAAATCTGATTGGCAGCTGAGATTTGATTGGCTTTTCCATTTACTGGTGAGTGTGGGGGGAGGTGAGATACCGCTGTTGAATTTTTGACTGGCATCTGAATTTTTTGTGTGTTTGTGTGTACGAGTGTGTGTAAGCTCCCATTTTTATTTGAAAGGTCGTCCCTAGCCCCATGTGAACAAACAGAGATGAGATGTTTATGAGACTCTGCTGTCTCCTTATGTTCCTTCTCACTGTCGCGCTAAAGAAAACTGCACACTGTATAACACCATATGCTGACCCCAGGCAATGCCATTCCTCTGCCGCATGTGAAAACGCTCAAACCAAATGATACAAAATGGATACAATGACGCGTTTAATCAGCCGCGCCTCCTCGCGCTGCAGTCAGAGAGCAAAAACCGCAACACGCCTGGTACGCATTTAAAGGCGACGACTACGAAACAAGCAGATTCCTTTCGAACGTGCCTTTCAACTTTCACCTTCACTCACCCCAACTTCACCTCTCTCTGCCCATTCCCACCCCCACTCTCTTGTTTCCTGGCCCTAAATTCCTCAGTGCAGGCCGGACAGGGTTTAATAGTAGCCCAGGCTCATAAGCAGGCCTATAAACGTTGTGTCTCGGATGGGAAGGAGGCCCCCAGCCAGGGTGACGGCCTCTTTATTGGGATCCAGTCACCTTGGGCAGCTATTCACATCAACAGCTCCATCCTTGGATCCCTTCCTAGTAAAAATAAAGAATCTGGGGTCAAAAACCCAAAGTCACAGCCCCTCCTGTCACCTTCAATGGGTAGCACAGGACTGAACCAAATGTCTTGCCCCAACCCCAAACACTGCAACCCCAACCTGAACCCCCACTCTGTCATTAACAAGAGCGGTAAGGTTTCAAAAAACAGAGGGGCAAAGGCACAAAAGGAATAATCTAATAAAAGTAGAGGGAAAAAATGAAAAGAGAAAGAAAGAGGAGGGGGAAAGGAGGTGAGCTTCAGGACAGAAACTTCCCAGTGGCCGAGTGGTTAAATGAAATCCTGACTATTTAACTTTGACCTTGACTGAAGAAAGTATTGCTAACAAGAGGAGCTCACGAATGTGTTCGACACGGTGTTATTTAAAAAGTGACCACTCAGCGTGCCTAGCCCATTAATCACTGGTGAATTTGGAGCGGTGGTGTGATGTTCTGCATTGGTTTTGCCACTGTTATATGGAAGTGTGTCATCAGTCAGTAGACGAGTGTGTACGAGTCTCTTTCAGTAACACAATGAATCTGACGTGGAAATACAAAGCACACCAACCAGAATCACTGCACACTACCAGCATCTCATCGTTCAACATTATTACTGTTATTACTGTTAACTTGTTTATAAGTACAGGTTTGCAGGTCTCTTTAACACACTGTATCGTCACACACTGCTGTGACTCGTTAGTCCCTTTTCTTAAAAAAGAAAAGATCACAAATGATGCAGGCAGTATTTTTTTCCACCTCTGTGTGTTGCTCTGATGTGTCGGATTTTTTATTGTTTACTAAAAAAAAAAAAAGATTCAATGACTTTTTCTCAGCTTTGTACTCAGTGATCTTGACTTCTTTTATGTGAAGAGATTGTGAAAACATATTTTCTTTGAGCACACTCTGCACATCTCCCTGCACATTTGTATTCACTGCACTCACGGCTGATAGACTTGTGGGAATTGTAAATGAAAGAATGAAAGGTTTGCTGTGTACTTTCTGTGTGTGTTCCCAACCTGCTTTAAACTCTTAGTGTGTGAAACTACACATAGATTTTGGACCCAACGAGAGGAAAACACAGCATAAAATGCAATAGATGCAATAACGGCACGAATGATTTTCTCTCCGGTGTTGATTGAAAGAAATCGTTTAACTTTAGTTGGAGGTTATGATTGAAAAAACTTTCTTTGGGATATAATATCAGCTCGATGTTAAAGAGGCGTGAGAAGTGAATCACGTCAGGGTTTTTTTTGCACAGTTTAAGAAATGAGATCGATTGTATTGGATGTACTGGTGAGCACAGCGGTATTACCAGAACCATCCGAAATACACAAGTGGTTATCAAAAACTTACAAGAGCAGATTCTCTGTTGTGACGGAGTTTAAAGCCAGAAATGAAAAACCTCACCAATATCGTGGAAAACCTCTTTCTCCAAAACTAACAGAGAGGTATAGGCAGAGACTGATCTAAAGTTTGACGAATAAGGAAGGTCAAGATTTCTTTTCTTAATGAGAAGCCATACAATTGCATGTTTAAAGTAGGCTGGCACCCTCTATGAGACTAAACAAGTATTTAGAGTCGTTAAAATGAATGGACCATTTACAGACGAGGGGGGATGATAACATGTTGTAGGGGCGGTAAGTGAAACGGGCTCACAGTTATGAAAAACAGCCGTTAAGGTAAGAGTGGGTGACTCATTATTGTTCATTGTAGCATTAGTTCTGAGAAGTGAGATCTTATCAAGAGGGATATTTAGAAAGCTGTCACAGTGCAGGAGAGATACTTGGAAAGACAAAGGTAATGGGGTTAAGAATCAATTGTCCGGAAGAAGTCTTGTTTTGATTTGATGCTGTATATAGTAACCACTGTCCTTAATGTAAATGTGTAAGAAAAATTGTGTATGTTTCTGTTCCGTGTCCTGTTTGTATATTTGTCTTTTTGGCTGCTGTTACAACCAAATTTCCCCTTGTGGGATAATTAAAGGATTATTCTATTCTATTCTATTCTATTCTATTCTATTCTATGCTATATTAATAAAACCGAATTGAACTGAAGACGATTCTACTGGCACGAGTAGAAATCAGGTCTTGAGGCCTCGGCAGTCTCCTGATATTTGTTTGGAAAATGTCTTAAAATTTCATAAAACACTTGCAGTTTGTTCTTTTTCCACTTCCTTTCTGCTCTCCTGTTGTCTGAGTGCCCAAGTAGACACAACTACCATTTTCCTTCTTTCTAAATTTTTCCATTCAACGATAAATAGCGACGAAACATAAACCAGCGGAGACAAAAAGTTTAAAAAAAAATGTAACAAATTATAGGCTTACTAAAGTCTGCAAGTGTTTTTTAAAGAAACTGTTACGGTTGTATTGTCTTTAAAACCCAGTGATGTTGTGGGTTCAGCAGACCCACAAACAATGGGGTAGGTACCAAAAACTCGAACGCTTACAAGCAGGATTTTTTTGTGCTGTCGACTTCTTTGTTCTGTAATACATAAATTAACTAAAATGAATGAAACATTGTATTATGTTTACACTGCAAAACAGTAAGTCAGAAATAAAACAGGACGTATAAATTACTGATTGTTTGTATGTCTTACTCACTAAACAAGGGTTTTAAAAATTATGTTTAAATTATCAGCCAATAGTTGTTAATGGTTGGATTCTGATATGTGATGAATAAGTTCCTAGTTCCTGCTTTTTATGGGCAGATAAATAAAGGATAAATATATCAAATATGAATGTATCCGGAGACACAAGGATTTTGAGATAAAAAAAAAAAGACGGGTGCTTTGCACTACTGCATACAGTAACAATGAATAAACATGAGGATTCACTTTGCATTGTCTTCTGTGTGACTTTAAGAACGTCTCAACGTGCAGCTTCCAGCTTTTTCATCTGCATGGATTTGCTGCTTCTCTTCTTCCGATGCAAAACTAAATGGAAAATCTAGAAAAAGAGCAACTTGGGATTCGGGGTGATTGTGACAGACACACAATAGCAGCTATTGTATTTGTAAAAAATGATTTCATATGTATTCACCCAGGTCAGAAAACCAGACTAGTGACAATAGTCTCTTTCTACTTGCTTTCCTCTCAAAAGAAAAGGCTGCAGATAATTACTTCTAAAGCAATAGATGCAAGAATTTGAGTTTCTGGGTGTTTTTTGTAATAGTGTGCGTTCAATTTTGGGTTATTAGAGCAAAGGTGTGAGAGGTGGAAGTGAAGGAGTCGGCGCTGGATGAGTGGTGCTGCAACCCGATCGCTGTTTTCTGTTTATATAGTAACACTGTCGATGTAAAAGTGGCCCTGAGAGAACCAGTGGAAAAACAGCTCCCATTGAAACGGAGAAGCTGCATATGGCGCCAGGAGAGAGGTAGTGACTGACAGTGTCTGAAGGTGGTGAGAGCAGGTGAGGAGGGACGTGACTCAGAGACACATGACGGAGGGAGACAGGGCGAGAGACGCCCGGCTGAAGGCGGCGAGAGAGGGAGGGGGAGTGGGGGTTTTACCTGGCGTGGAGAAAGAGGGAGAGGAGCCAAAAACTGTCGGCAGCTGTCATCACCCTGAACTGAGCTCAGCCTCAGAGCTTCGGCTTGGGAAAACGAAAAAAAAAATCCCTCTCTCTTCTTAACCTGCAACTCACCCCCGAGTATGTCACAACATCAATCAGCACTCCGCTCCGCTGCTGGACTCAAAAGGCACGACACGCCTCGTGTGAATCAGCTTAATCAGCTGCTGTAACGCAACTACTACACAGAGATTCACATGCAACAAAAACGATAAATATAACCTGTCATATGACATATTTCACACTGTAGCTCAAGCCTATTCAAATGGCGGCCCGCGGGCCAAATGCGGCCCAGAAGCAACCTGCGAGTGGCCCTGCCTGTGGTCCTGGCAGAAACACAGAGAAAACGCAAAAAATGAATTCATTAATTAATTTTTAAAAAATTTAAAATTCCTACAGCGTAGTGTAGACTGTGAATGCA